TATAATATTATAATTAATTAATTTTTTAATCATTTAATTAAGTATTATACTAATGTTTGTAATAAAATGTTATAATTAATTAAGTAATTAACTAATTATACTATAAATCTATAATGTAATGCTATAATTTATTAAATTTCTAATTATTTGATTAAGTAATATACTAAATATTATAAGTCAATTAATTAAATAGTAATCAATTAATGTAATGCTATAATTAATTATACTATAAATCAATTAAGTAACGTTATAAAATTATAATTAATTAAGTAATCATTTAACTATAATGTAATGTTATAATTGATTAAGTATGATATTTAACTAGTAATTAAATTTATTAATGTTTATCAATTTATCATATATAATTAATTAATTGTTAATTTACTATAGATATACTTAGAACTTGATAATTGAAGTAAATAACTAAATATATTATTATTCAATCAAATATACTATTTTATTCAAAAATGATTCTTTTAATAACATTAAAACACTTTTAATTTGGTTCTAATTCTAATTATACACTTAATTAATCAAAACTTTAATATTAATATATTATAATATATTAAAGTTTTTAATATGGTGTAGTTTATATGTAATAAGTATCATTGTATATTTATTTAATTAGGTTGTTCTAAAATTTTAACTTTTTCTATTTTAAATTTTTTATATGTAAAATAATGAAACCCCTCATTATTCACAAATATTTCATTGGAGCCCAGGTTCCAAAACAAGTTCCAAAATAGATTCCAAAACAAGTTCCAAAATAGGTTCCAAAACAAGTTCCAAACATGTTCCAAATCGGGTACCCGTTTCAGGTTCTTTTTCCAGGTTCCAGTTCCTCCACACATAAGAACTAGAATCGGAACCGTACAGTGTCGATTCCAAGAAAATGGAACCGGAACCTACCCATACAGTGCCGGTTTCGAGTAGGTTCCGATTCTACTTGCAAGTTCCGGTTCTACCCGCTACCCGTGCTCACCCCTAGTTATAAGGAGTTGATTGTAAGGGAGACTCATGGGGGAGGACTTGCTAATCATTTTGGAATCCACAAGACTTTAGAAGCCCTTAAAGAACACTTCTACTGGCCGAATATGCAAAAGGATGTCCAAGCAATCATTTCAACGTGTGGGGCATACCAACAGGCCAAGAGTCACTTCAAGCCGGGATTATACACTCCATTGCCTGTTCCGGAGTAGCCTTGGGAGGATTTGAGTATGGACTTCGTGGTGGCTTTGCCTAGGACTCAAAGGGGCAAAGATTCAATCATGGTTATGGTTGATAGATTCTCCAAGATGGCTCACTTCATTCCTTGCCACAAAACCGAGGATGCATCTAGTGTGGTAGATTTTTCTTCAAGTAAATTGTAAGGTTGCATGGGATTCTAAGGAGCATAGTGTCGGATCGAGATACAAAGTTCCTTAGCCACTTTTGGAGGACTTTGTGGAGCAAATTTGGAACCAAGTTGTTATTTAGTACCTCTCATCATCCCCAAACCGACGGTCAAACAGAGGTTACAAACCACACTTTAGGAACTCTTCTTAGAACCATGGTTAGCAAGAATGTGAAGGATTGGGATGTTAAACTTGTTCATGTCGAGTTTGCCTACAATCGGTCTCCTAGATCCACAACTGGCCACTCTCCCTTTGATATAGTTTATGGCATTAATCCCATCACTCCTATTGAGCTAACTTCATTGCAAATTGATATTCAGATTAGTTTGGATGTTAAGGAGAAGGCTATGACCATGAAGAAGTTGCATGAGTCCATTAGAGCCCAAATTGAGAAGTCCAATGAAGCATATAAAAAGAGGGCTAATAAACATAGAAAATCGGCCTTGTTTCAACCGGAAGATTTAGTATGGGTCCATTTGAGGAAGTAAAGGTTCCCGTCTAAGAGGAAAAGCAAACTTGCACCTAGAGCCAACGACCCATTTGAAGTTCTTGAGCGGATTGGTGACAATGCCTACAAGGTGAACTTGCCAAGTGATTTTGGGGGAATCTCTTCCACCTTTAACATTAGAGATTTGTCCCCATATTTGGAAGATGACAACCTTGCGGATTTGAGGTCAAATCCTCTTCAACCTGAGGATGATGATATGAATTCACCTTCAATGACCAACAAAATTCTCCATGGGAACCAATTGATTGCCATTGAAGAAGTTATTCAAGGAAGTGGAAATAATTCGACCCAAGAGAAATTCCCCATGCAAGGCGCAAGCAAGCATTCGACCCAAAGGGAATTAATCATGCAAGACACAAGCAAAGGGGTAGCCCAAGGAGATAAATTGGTTCATGATGAGCCCAAATGGCCCAAAATGGAATCTAGCTATTATTTGGGTTCAAGTCCTTTAATTGGTTATAGTTTGATTACTTGGGAACTTTCCCACCAAAGGTAAGTCAAATATTCAATTATCATCACATGGGAGAGTCAAGGTTATCATTTGGGATCATTAAATGCAAGAGATAAGGAGCCAAAGTGGTTGCCACAAGCATTACCCGAAATGGCAAAAGACAAGGTTGTAAGAGATGGGCGGCTCCTTGTCCCCTACCTTTTTATGGAAAGTCCTAGGATCTTGTGATTTATTTATCCCATGCATGTTTTATTTAAATTTTTGTTTTCTCCTATGTTGGAAGTCGTGTATGACCTTTTTATATTGGTTGAATTTTCTTTTGTGTGGCTTAGATCTCATTAGGAGTTTGTGCATGCCACTTGTACGCCCAAGATTAAACTTTGTTGGGGAACCTTTTGTATGGCCTTTTATATGGCCAGCCACTTCATTTGAAGATCGGACTTGATGAATGAAAATTGTCTCTTGAGAGAGCTTTATTACTCCTTTATCCAATCTTTGTCATAGGTTGGTGGTGGATCTCCTTGGTTGGTGGTTTTCCCGTAGGCCTTGGATTATTTTGGTTTTTGTTTAGTGTTATCTTGTATCTTCTTGTGTGTATGTTGTTTGTTATTTGTGTTGGCCGAAATTCCTTCTTGGTGGTTGTTATTGTGTTATCAATTTAGTCATATAAGGAGAAGTTGTTGCCAACTTAATTATTGATAGTTTTAAACTTGTTGGAAGTGTTCAAACTCACTCTAAGCTACTAGAAATGGATCAGCCAAGCATGATTTCAAGCACCACTAAAGATGCAAGAATTTCAATCTAACCCATCTCACTTGAAGAATGCCTTGGAGATTTTCACGAGTTGGGCCGATCTTAAAGCAAAGCCCTCCGAGAGAAATATCTTCTTTCCCAGAATCAAAGATAATAAGAAGAATGAGCTCTTACATGTGTTCGGGTTTGAAGAGGGCAATCTTCCAATGAAGTACTTAGGCGTCCCCCTAATTACTAAAAAGCTAAGGTATGCTGAGTGTAAGCCGTTGGTGGATAAGATCTTGGCAAGGATCAACTATTGAAAGAATAAATTTCTCTCCTATACGGGTAGGATTATTCTTATCAAAGCGGTCCTTTCAAGTATTAAAGTGTATTGGTTCCATCTACATCCTTCCATCTCCATCTTCATCCTTTCCTTTGGTCGAGACTGGACATGAAAAAGAAGAAAGCTAAGGTTAGTTGGGAGGATGTATGTGCACCGAGAGAGGAAGGGGGCTAAGGAATTATAAGAAGCAGAGATTGGAACAAAGTGGCAATGATGAGACATCTTTGGAACGTAATTCAAAATCATAGCGCTTCCAGTTGGGTTGATTGGGTTAAGGAATTCTATTTAGGCCAAAAAAGTATTTGGGAAGTGTCATCTCCGGCTAATGTGTCATGGCCTTGGAGGAGTATTTTGAAACTTAGAGATGTGGCTATGGACAAAATCCATTATGTTATTGGCAATAGAGATCATACCTTTTTGTGGCATGATAATTAGCACCCTAAGGGTCTCCTTATTGAGAGATATGGAAATAGAATTGTTTATGACTCGGGTCTATCAAGATATGCATGGGTAAGTTAGGTTTGGGATGGGACGAATTGGAATTGGCCGTCAGAAAACTCCACCGCACTCCTTGAAGTCAAGAACTCGGTGACTCCCTCCCCCATGAGTAATAAAGACAAGGTTATTTGGATACCTAATCCTTCAGGTTTGTTTAGCATCAAATCGGCTTGGGAAACTTGTAGAGTGCAAAACAAAAATGGATTGGCACCATATTATTTGGCATCAAAAGGCAATTCCGAGCATTCCTTCATCTTATGGTTGGCTATAAGGGAACGCCTACAAACCAAAGACACGCTGGTTAGTTGTGGAGTTACTTCTAATGGGACTTATTGCTTTTGTAACTGGCATGTAAAAACTCTTGACCACCTTCTCTTCTCTTGCTCGTTCACTAGAGACATTTGGATCCGCTTGATGGGCATGTGTTCTTTGGGTTATTTCACTCGGCCTTAGAAAGAGTATATAAAACACATCACTACTAAATGGAACTCCAAGAAGCTCAAGCATGCTATCAGTAAGTTATGCTTGGGGGCCACCGTGTACTACATTTGGAGGGAATGGAACAATAGACACTTTGGGAGAGAGAGTCAAAATGCCACTTCTTTGTTTACCCTCATCAAGAATGTGGTTAGAGAGAAAGTAATGGATCTCACGAAATTGAAGAAAACCACTACCAACTCTCGGCTTGCTCAGTACTTTGGTCTCCCCTGGTGCATCTTCTAAACCCATTGAGTTCCATTACTTTACAGGTTGTAGAACTTTATTTAGGTTGGTTGGTTTGGTACAACCTCTATACATCCAATAGTGAATCTTCTACTTGCGCAGGATTTAGTGTTTTCTTTTTGGTGTAGTTTGCATTGTGATTGATTGATTCGTTCAAGCAGTGTTGTTTGTTTTGGAAAGCCTCGATCGAGGGCAGGTTTTAATTGTCTTCTCTTGTGTTGGTTGTTTTTTCTATGAACAATGTCTAATCGAGGGGCTGGTTCAACTGCGGATATTGAGGCATTCTTGATTGACTTTAATCGGTCGTCATAAGCACTATATGACTACATAAAGTACCAACAAAGAAAGTTAGGTTGTACCGCATTCATAGTTGTGGATAGGACCCGGACCAAAAGCTAAGATGAGCTTCCCAAAGTCTTCCAAGTTGCCTGATGCCCAAGCTTCAGGTCTTGAAATAACCAAATATTTGAAAAAACCTGATAATGCACAAAACCATGATAATAATTTCCAAGAGAGTTTTAGAAAGCATGCGAAGGAAGCAATGCCTTTTATAACCCGCATATTCTCTGAGAAATAATGCTCTACTCTTTTAGCTAGAATAGGCTCTAGTTTGCATTGCAAAGAAATGATACCAATCAATCAGGAAAAAGTAAAGGAAAAGAAAATTGGAGGATTTCAAATTGTTGTCATGAATTCAGATATAATTTTTGTCTTATTTTACCTTGTTCGATTAGAGAAAAACTATCTGGTTCATCAAAAAATTATGAATCACTATACTCACAAAGAGCTTTCAGCTTCATTTACATCCTAGAAAATCTGTTAATCTGATGGCATTTTGACGCACTAGCTTATGTTTAAATATAAAATAAATTAGTCTCTTTAATAATAACAGAAATTTGACTATAAATTGACAAGGAAAATTGCTACCACGAGGATTGATTTGATTGGCATGGTGGCCACATACATTCCAATTTATAAACTGATAGGAAACCAGAACTTCCCACACTCAGTTCAAATAAACAATTCAAAGAACAAGGAGTTTATAATTAATTCGACTGTATTTATCTGATAATGAAAGGAAAATACAAGTCGTAAGAACAAGTGAAAAAGAAGACGACAAAAGAAAATAAAGGATAGCTAGCAGTTCAAGGAGCTAGAGACCTCCCAACCAAAATTCCCACAGAATATTCTCTGCCTTTACAATTCACTTGCCTAAGTTTATACCCAGCTAATCACAATATTCTCATGGCTGTTGCCACGTGGCTTTACTAACAAACTCTCAAATAGCCTAATACTAATAATCCCTTTTAATCCCATATTTACCCTTCTTATAAACAAGAGTGACAGGTGCTCCATCATAAACTTGTTCAGGCCATATTGGATGCTCCCACTGTAAGACACAGGAAGACCTTACCAGGGCCCAGAACTGCATACTTTCTATGGCAATGTGAACAAATAGAGAAAAGAAAGATATTTCTGAATAATGCTCACACTTTTCATTCATTAACAGATAGCTTTGTATACAAATTTGTTAAGCACTCTAATTACTGACTATCTAATAAGTAACCAACCAGCTAACTAAAACTATCTCTTAACAGCTTAACAAATAAGCTAAAATAAGTTTGATGTTGAATTACATAAATAACCCTTCCAGACTTAATTCCTACATCCCCCCCTCAAGTTGGAGCTAGGTGACAATCACCTAAGCCCAACTTGGACAAGAAATATGTAAACTGAGGAGCAACAAGAGGTTTAGTGAAGAAATCAGCAAGTTGCAGTGAAGAGGGAATGTGCTGGGGAGTGATGAAGCCTGCCTTGAACTGATCCCGAACCACATGACAGTCAATTTCCAAGTGCTTAGTGCACTCATGGAAAACTGGAGTGGTGGTGATGTGTAGGGCAGTGTGATTATCACACTAAAGAGTGATAGGAGTGAAAAAGGAATCAATAAGTCTTGAAGCAAATATGAAATCCATTGCAACTCACGGACTGTGGCTGCCATACTCCTGTACTCAGCCTCTGCAGAAGACTTAGAAACTGTAGTTTGTTTCTTTGTCTTCCAAGAAATAAGAGAAGAGCCAAGGAACACACAATAGCCAGTGAGAGATCTTCGGGAATCAGGGCAAGAAGCCAAATTAGCATCGCAATAAGTTGTGACAGTAAAGGAAGAATGAGCTAGGAAAAATAAGCCTTTAGAAGGACATCCCTTTAGATACCGCAGAATGTATAAAGTAGCATCCCAATGTTCTTGGCAAGGAGAATTGACAAACTGACTTAGCTGCTGAACAGCAAAGCTAATGTCAGGTTTTATCAAATTAAGATACAATAATCTGCCAATTAATCTCCTATATTGATCAGGAGAAGATAAGAGATTGGAAGATTCTGAACTAAGCTTGCAGGCCTTGCGAAAATGAGTAGAAACAGGCTTTGCACCAGCCAAACCTGTGTCTTCAAGGATGTCCAAAATGTATTTCCGTTGATTGATAAAAGTACCCTCTAAAGAGCGAGTTATTTCTATCCCAATGAAGTATTTGGCATATCCTAAGTCTTTGATAGTAAAAACAGAATGTAGATAAGCCTTAACTGCTGCAATATCACTTTCATTAGGTCCCATTACTAAAACATCATCAACATAGACAATTAGAGCCAAGAAATTATCGGCAGAAGGTGTAGTAAATAGACAATGATCATGCTTGGACTGAACAAAACTATAGGCCAATAATTTAGTGCATAACTCATAATTCCACTGTCTGGAAGCCTGTTTCAAACCATATAATGACTTTCTAAGCTTGCAAACCTCTCCATTTTGTGCCTTAGAATAACCATCAGGGGGAAAAAAGATAGACTTCTTCATCCAAGTAGCCATGTAAAAAGGCATTGTTAATGTCTAATTAATGTAATGGCTAAGAATAGGAAGTAGCAATGGCCAAGAAAACTCTAACTGTAACAAGCTTGGCAACAGGAGAAAAACTTTTCAAATAATTCACCCCATAAATTTGATTGTAACCTTTGGCCACTAACCTGGCCTTGTATCTATCTACACTCCCATCTGGTTTAAGTTTAATTTTATAAACCCATTTCGTGCCAATTGGTTTTTTTTCAGGTGGTAATGGGACTAATTCCCAAGTATGGTTGGACTCTAAAGCATCAATTTCAACACTCATAGCTTTAATCCAAGCAGGATGCCGGCAAGCTTGATGATAGGAAGTAGGTTCTTGGATTGTTAAGACATTAGCTAAGAAATTGATATATGTGTGTGATAGACAAGAAGGATCAATGAAAGGATAAGTTGGAGGTGTATATATTGAAGAAAAATGAGATTTATCAACAGATGAGAGCTATTGGGAATTATGATAGTGTAGCACATAATCATTCATCCATTTTGATGGCTGTTTAGATTTAGAACTTTGCCTAGGTGGAGAATGAGCAATTGGAATAAGTGAAATGTTACTAGACTGTGAATGCATGTCTACATGATCAGGAGACAAATTTTCAGGCAGCAATGCATCAGTAATAGGTTCAACATGCATAATAGTATCGACTCTAGGTGATTAATGAGTTTCTAACTCAGCAGAAGGTATGGAATCAGAAATGTCAAAATCAAATGTGGATTGTGGTTAAGATGTGGCAGGTAAATGATTAGTATATGTAGGAAACAAATCTTCAAGATCAGAAGGAATTAATGGCACACATGAAGAATTGTTGGCAATAGAGTCAGTAGAGAAAGGAAACAAATGTTCAAGAAAAAGCACATCTTGAGAAACAAAAATTGTTTTAGAAGACAAATCATAAAGCTTAAAAGCTTTCTGACCTTGACTGTAACCAATGAAACAGCATCGATTAGCTCTTGGTGTGCATTTATCTTTATGTGGCAGTGTATTGGTTGCATAACAAAGGCAACCAAAAACCTTAAAAGAATCATAGTTAGGAATTTGGTTATACAGTAATTCATATGAGGATTTCCATTGAAGGACTGAGGTTGGTAACCTATTAATGATGTGAGTTGCCATAAGAATGGCATGATCCCAAAACATGATAGGCATATTAGCTTGAAAAATCAGGGCTTTAGCAACTTGAAGTAGATGTTTGTGTTTTCTTTCGACAATATCATTCTGCTGAGGTGTGTAAATACATGTTCTCTGATGAATGATGTCTAATGTATGAAATAGTTGCTGACAACTAGAATTAAGAAATTCAGTTCCATTGTCTGTTCTAATGCTTTTAACTTTAGCATCAAACTAGGTATCTACAAGATGAAAGAAATTTTGTAAAGTAGTGAATGTTTGTGTTTTGTGGGAAAGAAGGTATGTCCATACTGCCTTACTATGATCATCAACAATGGTCAGCACATAATGTGCTCCTATAACATATCTTACTTTATAAGGACCCCATAGATCCAAATGAAGTAAATCAAAAGGTTTAAGAGATGTAGTTCAACTTATAGGAAAAGGTAACCTGGGCTATTTTGCTTGGTGACACACATCACAATCTGAAAAAGATGCATCAGCAGATTTGTCAATAAACTGTAATCAAAATAATAATAATAATAATAATTCAAGAATAAAAGGACTGATAATCACTATAGACAATGATGAATCTACCTCAAACAATCAACTATAAATAGACGCACAACAGGATGGTTGCGATTGAATGTATTGCCACAGCCTGAATAATCTCCCTGTAAAACCATAAAGCAAAATTCAGTCATCGTAATTGTCTCTGAAGAAATGGAAAGTAGGAAAACAGAAAACCATTAAATCATAATTTGGGTTTTTAGCAGCTGGGGATCCAAACTGGAGTGGCTGATTTACAATATCAAGGTATGTAATGGATCTTATTGTACTCATTACTAATAGTAATACCAAGAAACATAAACAATAGTAATAGATATAGAGTTTGATTTTTTAAACAATAAATAGCATTTGCGTTGACCAAAAATGATATATCAAATAAAAAGTGAATTAAATCTTTATTTCACATCAATTAGATTTAATCTTTAAATTTTCACCTATTTCTCCAACAAAGTTTTATTTTTCTACAAATAAAAGTAGTCCACTAATATAAGAAGTTTTCATCTCTCTCCAATCCTGCTAACTCACCAACAGTAGATGTTTCTGTGTATAAGGAGAATAATGAGAATTCAATGATAATTTTATAATCAAGATACGAAGTATTTTGGATTTAGATATTTAATTCTTATTTTAGCTGGATTTGATTTCATATTCATATTTTTATTACTTGTTTATGTAAGTATGATTAGGTTTTCTTATAGAATTATTGGCCACTACATATAGGCCTCGAAGTTTTGCAAACCTTTGATGGATTATTAACAGTGGAGATTAATTTTACCTCATAACATAACATGGATCATTGAAAATTAGGCTTTCTCCCTTTTCTTGTTCTTCTAACTTATTCACCTTTCTCTCTTTCTCAATATTCTCTCTATTTCTTTATCTATCTTATCTTTTGTCCAACCATTCTACATCAGCCTTACATGAGAAAAAGAGAAGATTCACAAAACATCAAAGAATCAAGAAAAAAATATACTTAAATTTTAACCATATATAAGACAATTTCTTCATTTAAATTATCCCCGCTTATTTAGGAATTCAAATACACATCAAATAGAATGACTATTAATTAAACAACACCAGAATCAAGTGAAGGTGTATATATAGGAGCAATGTGTCAAAAATTGTACCTTAGGGGCCAACATGTAATAAACACTGTTATCAACACCTCTAAAAGACAAAGTAGGACCTTTCTCATTGCCCTCAGCTGTGTGATTAATACAACATCCATGAACACCTGCTAAGAAATTAGATATGGAAAACTTTTAATTACTGAAAAGAAATGCTCATTGTACTGAGACCAGATATCACCTCAATTCTTCGTTTATGTGCTTTCTTAATAAAAGCTTGAATTCACAAAGCATCATGGCCACAATTACATGTACCATTAGATGAATATCTTATCATAGGAGAAAAGTAGTTGACAGTGAATACCCTCAAAAATTAACCCTGGCAAGAAATAATAATTAGACAAGATATGTCAACAATACATAAGATTTTCCTCAATTTGAGAAGATCATATATTAACATGAATCAGTTTATTTATTTGACTTTATTAATTTGTGACATCTGAAACAAAGATTGCCTGGTCCACACAGCCTTTACCATAGCTCATGCCCAAGAGCTAAAAATCATTTTTTTTCAGCTAGTATTCTTTTTTAGAGAATAGAAACTAAGATTTCAGTCTAGAAAGTATTTGAGCCCTCATACTAATCATTTACCATAGAAATCTATATTCACATAGTTACAAAATCAAGGTAAAGGAAATTCTAATAATAGACTTATAATAAGAATTGACTAGAAACAAATATTTGTTTATTTATATCCTTCTCTTACGCGATCATTTACATCCCTTTAAAATTTGGACTGCATCTCTTTTATGTAAAAATTGGTTAAAAGACTAATTTTTTCTTTAACTCCTACTACCTCTCTAAGTTTGAGTTCAAATTAAAAAAAAAAAAAATGTAGACATCCATCCTTGAAATTTCTTTCATTGTGCGTGTGTGTGCCCATGTCATTGTACTGTAACAATTATAATTTTGTACTACTGAACAATAGACTTGTAACAGTCAATGACAAACTTACACAACATTATATTGAAAATGCCTAACATGAAAGTTTTAACATTTAAAAGGTAAAGTTATATATAGAAACACACACACACACATATATATATAATAACAATGACTGCCCCTTAGGTTTCATATATACATAGATTTCATTTGCCAGTTAAGTTTTCTTAAATATAGAGGGCCAAAATTACCAAAATATCTCTGTATGTTAGAGAGCTAAAATAGTGTTTGACAGGAAAATCTACATCGACCAGATAATTAACATGATTTGTGCATTTATAAACCTCAAGAGTAGTCATCACAATTACCCTAAACCTCAAGACGGAAATTAAATCACCACCCTTATACATGAATGAGCAGGTAACTTCTCTCCACAGTGACTACTTAAAAATTCAAATAATTATGTGAAATCTTTTATCTTTTAAGAAATACAGAATATTTGAAAAACATAATAGAAGAAGGATTTAACTGTTCACACTACGCCAGTAATCATGAAACAATGACTGCGGCAAAACAATGTAGCTATATGTACGCATTAGATTTTACACTGTCCATCAGTAAAGAACCCTAAAATTTAGCCTATCTAACTCCAATGGCATTTAAAAGCTTGTTTAGTCTACAATAGCTGCATAAAGTTTGCCAATATGAATCTTTTTTAAATTTTGTATAAAGCGAAAACAGATTCTAGATAAAAGGTGAAAAATCATACTTATAATCACCCAGAAGAATTATAGCTGAAATACTCCATCTCATGAATTCATGACATGGCATCACCTCTATACAGTTAACTCCAAGGTCCGTAAATAAATAGATAATAATGGTACTAACAACAATCATAACATAAGATTACAATAATAAACTTGAATATCATCATAAATTTGAGCAAACTTCAGCATGGTTATAAAATTCCCCATACACTATTAAGGGCTTGAAAAGGATCATCACACCTGTGAAAAATAGTTGCATGTTTAACAAAATATGAGGTTAGAACTTAAGCAATGATTAGGGCCTAACTGGTAGTAAGGTGGATTGCAACAAATAAAATTAACAATTTTATTGATCTTAGTAGTCTGGTGAAAGGAAAAAATAAAAATCCTGAACAACCACATTGTTTGACAGGATAATATTAATCAGCATAGAAAAGCGAAAGATATACAGTGACCTTATTTTGTTTACCACTCAAGAAAACTGGATTTGAGATTTTCTATTCAATCCATAAACAGTTTTGCAACGAC